AGGATTTTAAAAAATTATCTCAGATGATAGATTGTATGGAGCCAGATGATAAATTCCTTAGAATACATCCCTCATGGACACAACCCATAGAAATCAGAATCATATAAGAATCCCCTGCCCTCGCTGGTTTTGCACAATGGTTAGAGCGTCGGCTCACAGATGCGTACCTCAGTTGCAGTTCAGTCCCAGGCCCTGTGCGGGAGGCAGCCAATCAATGTGTCTCTCTATACACATAGATGATTCTCTCTCTCTCCCTCCTACTCTATCTGAAGATGAATGGAAAAATATCCTTGGATGAGGGTCAAAAAAAAAAAAAAAGATTCCCTATATACTACCAATGTAAGAGAGAATATCCTATAGGCAATCATTCATTTCACATATTATAAAGTTTACTTACTTAAAGTGTACAATGATTTCGCATACTGTTGTACAACCTTACTGTAAATGAGTTATATTATTATTTTTCTTTTTATTTATTGAATTTATTGGCATGACACTGGTTAACAAAATTATACAGGTTTTTTTGTTTTGTTTTTTTAAATCCTCATCCAAGGATATTTTTTCCATTTATTTTCAGACAGAGTGGGAGGGAGAGAGAGAGAAACATGGATGTGAGAGAGACACATCAATTGGTTTCCTCCTGCATGACCCCGACCAGGGCCTGGGACTGAACTGCAACCGAGGTATATGCCCTTGACCTGAAATGAACCCGCAACTCTTTAGTCCACAGGCCAAACTGGCCAGATCAATTATATAGGTTTCAGGTGCATGAGTCCACAACATATCACCTGTACCCACCACCCCAAGTCAAGTCTCCTTCCATCACCATTTATCCACCCTATATGCTTCTTCCCCTTCCCCACCCTGTAAATAAGTATTAGAACATTTTCATTCCTACTCATACACATTTATGGTTAATCCCTGTTCCCAAATGCAGCCATAGACAATCACTAATCTACTTTCTGTCTCTATAAATTTTCCCTTTCTGGACTTTTCATACAGATGATCTTTCACTTAGCATAGTGTTTAAAGTTCATCTGAGACATAGCATGTGTCAGTAGTTCATTCATTTTTATTGCTGAATAGTATTCCATTGTATAAATACAGCACATTTTGTCTATCCGTTCACCAGTTGATGGACATTAAGGTTATTTCCAGTTTGGGGCTATTATGAATATGCTGCTATGAACAGTCACATGCAAGTCTTGGTGTGATATATATTCTCATTTCTCTTGAATTCCTGGGTTGTAAGACTTTTGCATTTACCTTTGAGAAACTGACACTGTTTTTACAAAGGGCAGTACCATTTACATTCCAATCTGCAATGCATGAGAGTTCCAATTTTTCCACAGCCTTGCCAACATTTGATATTGGCAGCCTTATTTATCATAGTCATTCTAGTGGGTATGAAATGGTATATTATTGTGGTTTTAATTTGCATTTCCCTAATGATTAATGATATTGAGCATCATTTTAGGTACTTGTTAGCCACTCCTGTACATTCTTTGATGAAATGTTCGTTTATTTCTTTTGCCCATTATTTGACCGAGTTGTTTTCTTATTACTGAGTTATAAGCATTCTTTACATAGTATGGATACAAATCCTTTATGAGATTTATGTTTGGCAATTATTTCCTCTAGTCTGTTAACTTTTCTTTTAAAAACTTTTTTTCTTTATTGATTTTTTTTTAGAGAAAGAGAAGGGAGAGGGAGAGAGAGATAGAAACATCGATGAGAGAGAACATCAATAGGCCGCCTCCTATATGCCCCCCACTGGGGATCAGGCCCACAACCTGGGCATGTGCCCTGACTGGGAATCGAACTGGCAACCTCTTGGTGCATGGGTTGATGCTCAACCACTGAGTCACACCGGCTGGACTGTTACTTTTTTTTAAATTTCTCAGTGGTGTATTTAGAGATGGAAAAATTTTGAATTTTGACAATATCCAATTTATCAGTTTTTTCAGTTATGCACTGTGCTTTTGGTAAAAAAAAAAAAAAGCAAAATATGATGGAGGCTTCAATCCAAGAAAGCTTTGCCCATCTCACAGGATCCGGAAAATGGTTTTCTGTTTTCTTTTAAAATATTTATCGTTTTAGTTATTACATTTAAGTATATGATCCATTTTGAGTTGGTTTTGGTCTTTTTTGTTGTTGTTGTTGTTGTTGTTGTTGTTGTTCAGATAGAGCAGGAGGGAGAGAAGGAGGAAGAGAGAGAGAGAAACATCCATGTGAGAGAGACACATCAATTGGTTGACACCCACACTACCCCAACCAGGGCCAGGGACAAACTGCAACCGAGGTACATGCCCTTAGCAGGAACCGAACCCAGGTCTCTCTGGACTGCAGGCCAACACTCCAACTGCTGAGCCAGACCAGCCAGGGCTGGTCTTTGTTTTTGTTTTTTCTTGAGGTGATTTTGTGTATGGCATGAGTTGAAGGTCTAAGTTTATCTTTTTGTATGTGGATAATCTATTGTCCCAGCACATTGTTAAACATACAATCCTTTCCCCCAATGAATTGCCTTAGCAACTTTGTCAAAAATCAATTAACCATAAATATAAGGATTTCTTTCTGGCTCTGATTCTATTCCATTAATCTATGTATCTATTCTTATGCCAGGACAACTGCTCTAGATATCTATATGAAACATTATTAATACTTTCTACAAGAACTAGAGGATGACAGCTACAGAAGTGGGGTTCAGACAAGTATTTTTATAAATGATTCATGAACAGCACACTAGTCCTTTGATTGGCGATGTTGGATTGGGCGATTCTAATTTTTTTGTTGTTGTTAATCCTCATCTGAGAATGTTTTTCCATTGATTTTTAGATAGAGTGGAAGGGAGGGAGGAAGAATAAGAGAGAGATAAACATCAATGTGAGATAGACATATGGATTGGCACAACCAGGGATCGATCAAACCTACAACCCAGGCACATGACCCTTCAGTCTGTGGGCCAACACTCTAACTGCTGAGCCAAACCAGCCAGGTTCTAATCTTAAATTTCATTAATTCTAATCCATCTGTAAATAATTCATATTTGTAAATAGTGTCTAGTCCTGATACATCAATTAACCGTGTTCACAAGACTATTTATGGTGGTATCCAGTAGATGGCTCCACTTTTCATGTTGTTAGAATTGGTCCTCCTCCTTCTTACCAGAACCAAACAGAAAAAATACATTTGTAACCATGATCATGCCAGAAATATAATGACCGTATTATAACAGTCTTTGTAGTAGGTTTTAGGTCTGTTGACAAATATTCTGATTCCCTTCTCCTTCCAGGCACATGTAGGAGGATTGTGTTTCCCTGGCTTCCTTGAAGTTAGTCGTGGCCATAATTTGAACTGGCCAACAAAATGTGATGGGCCAAGCGCATGTACCATGGTTGCAGTTCGTCCCCGGCCCTGGTGAGGGTTGTGCAGGAGGCAACCAGTGGATGCGTCCACCTCATGTCGATGTTTCTCTCTCCCCCTCTCTCTTCTTCCCTCCCACTCTATCTGTTTTGCTTTTTTTTAATCCTCCCTAGAGGACATTTTTTGCATTTATCTTTAGATAGAACGGGGAAGAGAGAGAAACATCAATGTGAGAGACACACCAACTGGTCGCCACCCACACAACCCCAACCGGGGCTGGGGACAAACTGCAGCCGAGGTAGGCGCCTCCAGCAGGAACTGAACCCAGGACTCTCTGGTCCACAGGCCAACGCTCTAACTGCTGAGCCAAACTGGCCAGGGCCCTCCCACTCGATCTGAAGATAAATAGGAAAATATCCTTGGGTGAGGATTAAAAAAATAAACAAATAAATAAGTGATGGGTGGAAGTTTTAAGAGCCTGCATGAAATTCACCAAGTTCCCTATTCCTGTCTCAGAACAGTGTGTGGGGAGAGGGAGCTTCCATCAACCTGGCTCACTGACTGCCAAGCAGAATCCCCCTGACAACTGACATGAATCACTGTAGCTTGAGCAAGAAATAAATGTTAGCTTGGTAAGCCCCTGAGCTATTAGGGACGGTACTGTAACATAACTGAGCTTATTGCAGCAGCTACAAAGTATACTTAATGTGAGATCACTGCCTAAAAATTTGTCAAATCACTGGTTTGGAACCCGCTCTGGAGTCCAGGCCTTGCACTGCCACACCGGCCCAGGCCCAGCTCCTCCGGTAAGTGTGGGTCCAGTATCCCGTCAAGATGCACATGCTTACTCACTCGACAAGGGAAGAAGCCTGTTCTCAACAGCCAGATTGACTGGAGTGAAATTCCAGCTCTTATGCAGGGGATGGTTTTGGCATGTTCCTTAATCTATGGGACCCTTTTCATATACATAAAATGCAGACAACAGATCTATACCCTATGGGAATAAATATTAAGCATTTAGGACAATGCCCAGCAGGTAGTGCTTTGAGGGTATTAGCTGTTGAGGGGTATGGCTCTTGCTGGCCCCCTTCACCTCCTCCCAGCCAGCCCTCCGGAGCATGCTGGGCACTCCCATTCACTTCTCCTCTCCTCTCTCTTCTCTTCTCTCTCTTCTCTTCTCTTCTCTTCTCTTCTCTTCTCTTCTCTTCTCTTCTCTTCTCTTCTCTTCTCTTCTCTTCTCTTCTCTTCTCTTCTCTTCTCTTCTCTTCTCTTCCCTTCTCCTCTCTTCTCTTCTCTTCTCTTCTCCTGGAGAGCTGAGCCCAGGGCAGAATAGTCAACCCTGGGAGGCTTGGGTCCACTTCAAATAACAAAATCCTGGGCCTGGACTCTAGACTAGAGCTGCAGTGAAAATTGAAATTGAAAGCTATGAATATGTCCTCGGTTAGGAGAATAGTTAAGTATCTGGCAACTTCAGAGCCAGTATCAGAGCTGGGAATTCACCAAGTCTCACTGGCTTCAATCAATGGAAACTGGGAAGCAGGTCATATTCCATTCACACCCAAATAATTCACAAGACACATGCGGGGTACCTGATTTATTCAAACTGTTGGACAGAGTCCCACCATGGGAGCCAAGCTGTGGGCGAATCGGGTGGGGATGTCAGGTATCAGAAGGTAAAGGTATCAGCTGAGCTGCAGGGGCAGTATTAGTACCAGGCCAAGCAGGAGAGGCCAGGTCCCACAGAATCCAGCCCCATTCACGGCCTCAGCATAGAACCTCGCCACTTCCTCATTGGGGTTGCCGTGGGTCGGGTCAAACCACATCTGGATACAGCGGCCACTTCCTCGGCTGTAGTTGCTGACTTTGTAGGAGTGACTCCAGATCTCATTGCACAGAGCAGCAGGCGTGGGGAAGTAGAAATGAAAGGGGTGGCAGGCAGCATTCACTGGGCACTGGTTAGACCCTGTAGGATGATGGAAGGCCTTTAGCCACTGGGCCCTGAAGTCTCTCTGGTTCTGCCAGCCTCACAACTCTATCCCTTCGTATACCTGTCTCACACCCCACCTTCCCCTCCCGACCTCTCCTTCCCCACCCGCCAGGCTCTCACCTGAGGTCCAGTTCCAGCCCTTGTGCCAGTTGCTCTTACAGGTGTAGGAGGTGCGGCAGTCTTCCCACCAGCTCTGACAGTCCTCTTTGCACAGGGGCACGTTCAGGATCCGCTCTTTGCGCCAGCTCTGGTTCACCTGGGACGTGGCAGTAGGGGAAAGGGACTCAGGCTCAGCATTCTCAGCAGCCCAGCCCTGGAGAGCCCCAGGGCTGCAGAGGCAGTGTGAGGAGAAGTCTGGGAGCAGACATGGGGAGGAACTCGCACCTCCTGGATCCAGGGCCCCAGGTTGGGGGAGCACTCATACAGGCAGGTGTCCTGGATGAAGTGGCGCTTGCAGGCGGGTTTCATCAGGCCGCAGTGGTCCCAGTTGAATCTGTACAGGTAGGAAACATCCTTATGGGCTTCCTGGCTGGTGTTGACAGAGCAGCAGGCGTTCTTCTTCCAGGGACTGCACTGGGTGGGAGGACACAGGACTAAGCTCTTCCCCCAGCACAGATTATCTCCACAGGCAGCTTTTCCCCTGAGTCCTTGGGCCCCTAATGCAGGGGGTCTGTCAGGGAAATACCTGCTGTTGGGGGGCCCTCTTTTGGGGAGGTGTAGTCATTACAAGATTAATTAATTCAAATATTTATTGAGCTCCTATTTACTCTAAACCAGGCACTTTTCTAGAAACTGGGGACACAGCGAAGAACATTTCTCAAAGGATAATTGCTTTGTTTTGTTTTTTTATCCTCACCGGAGGACATTTTTGCATTTATCTTCAGGTTGAGTGGGAGGGAGAGAGGGAGGAAGAGAGAGAGAGAAACATCGATGTGAGAGAGACACATCGACTGGTTGCCACCCGCACAACCCAAACCGGGGCAGGGATGAACCGCAACTGAGGTACATGCTCTTAGCGAGAACTGAACCTGGGACTCTCCAGTCCACGGGCCGAAGCTCTAACCGCTGAGCCAAACCGGCCAGGGCACTGGATACATTCTTCTTGTTTTTTTGTTTTTTTTTTTTGTTTTTTGTTTTTTTTTATCCTCACCCGAGGATACTTTTCCATTTTTTGTACAGATAGAGTGGGAGGGAGAGAGAGGAAGGGAGAGAGAGAGAAACATCGACATGAAGGGACACATCGAGTGGCTGCCACCCGCACGACCAACCAGGGCCGGGGACAAACTGCAACCGAAGTACGTGCCCTTAGCGGGAACCGAACCCGGGTCTCTCCGGACCTCAGGCCGACGCTCTAACCGCTGAGCCAAACTGGCCAGGGCTGGATACATTCTTCTTGAATGAATGGAAACCCACAGCCTAGAATTTAGTGTAAAACAAAATAATAAAATGGTCACTTAAAAAATATATAGGCTGAAAAAGCTAATGTCAAGGCTGCTAGAAGTATCCAAGTTCAGCCCTGGCCAGTTTGGCTCAGTGGTTGGAGCGTAGGCCTCCATCGGCCTGCGGACCAGAGTCCCGGGTTCAGTTCCCGCTAGGCCCTAGCGGCTAGGTGCATGTACCAAAAGAAAAAAAAGTATCCAAGTTCTCCCATTGCCTGTCTCTCAGTCCGCACAAGCAGCTGCTGCTGGTCATTCACAACAAGCACAGACTGGGGACTGAGAGAATTAATTACCTGCTAATGAGGTCCAAATGAACATTTTCATATTGGAACGCATATTATAAGTGATTTTTTTGTTGTTGTTTTTTTTATAGTTTTGGCATCATATTGATTTTTTAAAATGTTTAGATTGGTTCCAGTTATTAAAGGGGTTGTGGCAAAATAATTGTCATAGGTAGACCTCAGGTCCAGTGGGGTCGAGGGCCCCTGTGGAAATGTTTGCTCGATGCAGGAACCAAGGTGCCTTAAAACTACCCTCTCAACCGGGAGACCCACTTTTTCCTGAGCGGCACGGGGCTTGCAGAAAAGACGCCGCTAAGTGCAGTGAGCACTGATCCTCTCAGATCTCTGGAGAGGTCACTCCCAGCCTGGCCTGAAATCAAAATCGACCCCTGGGAGGGGTCTCTCCAGTGTTACTTCCCAGGCTCTGCTCTGGGCTGCTTCCTGATTTTTTAAGACAAAAACCCAACAGTCAAGAAGCTGCGCTGATGGCAGTGTACCGGCTACACTGGCACACAGTGTATGTTAAACACATAGCCACAGCCACCCAGATTAGTTTTTTAAACTAATGGGGTAGGGTGGGGTTTTTTCCAATTTTTATTCTTTTTTGTTTTGAGAGAGAGAAACATCAATTTGTTGTTCCACTTATGTATGCATCCATTGGTTGATTCTTGTATGTGCCCTGACCGGGGATCAAACCCACAACCCAGGCATATGGGTGCAGTGTTCCAACCAACTGAGTTACCTGGTCAGGGCTCAGATTTTTATTCTGATGACAAAAATCACACAGGGAAGAGCAAATTACAACTGACAAATGAAAGTGAGATGTGGTCTGGGAAACATGGGTGCCCACAATCCCTGGGATGCTTTCTGGACTCTTAGGTTTCCTTCCAGGGCTCCCAAGTACCCCGAGTGCCTCTTTGAAGTCCCCCAGGGGTCCCCTGGAGTGAAGTGTAAGCAGCAGCACTCTAGGCCAAGGTCGGTCTAGGTCTGACAACCTGAAGGCTGGTCTCCTCAGGCACAGAGAGGGTTTAACATTTTATTTCCGGCTTTATTCACCTGAGTCAGTTCCCCCTACCCCAGGCCACCCCTCCCCCACCTCCGCCCACCTGCTCATGCAGCTTGTCCTCCGGGCTTGGTTTTTCCTTGTGGTACTTGGCGTCCATGCAGATATTGAGAAGCTCAGTCCTGGGCCGGGCTGCCCATACCACGGCCCCCCACACCAGAAGGAGTAACAGCTGTGTTGTCATCGTTCGAGCCATTTCAGTCCCTGAAGGAAGAGCTGTGGTCAGTGACACCAAGTAAAGTGGAGGTGGAAACAGAACCAGGTGGGTGGAGTCTGAGGAAGCCTGGGGCAGTTTACACCCCACCCCCACACCTCAGTCTCCACAGCCTCAGTGAGGGTGGGCTCAGACACCATCTCCCGGGACAGTCCGTGGCCCCAGATGGGGCCTCACAGACTGCTCCACCTGGTCATGAGGATCAGTGATACAACTAAGGGGTGGGGTTTGGGCAAAATGCAGAAACAGCCAACAGGTTACCATAGGTCCACAATTCCTTGTTCAAAATCTTTGGAGGCAAGTCTTAAACAGTTTAAAATTTTTAGGATTTTATAAAAGGTAATATGATTTACATGCACTCAACAATCAAGCACACATTCTGTTACTGGAAAAAGGACCTGGTCCTGAGCGGGTCTGCCTCGGGCCTGGCAATTTGTGTGCAGGTTCTTGACTTGGTGCAGGAAAAATTTCACAACATGAGTCCAGGTGTATTTTAGAGGATGTTTATTAAAGCCGGGGACAGTGAAACAAGGAAGGGCTGGGGAAATGAGCTTGGCTGTTCTGCTTTGGCTCACTAAGAAGTCAAAGAAAAGGGGGCCTTGGGGACAGGTTCAGGGGGTTTGTCTGGGAAGAACTGCTGCTGCCCATTGCTGCCCTGGTTGCAAACCTCGTGGGTCCCCTAGAGTCTAGGAGCTGCCTGCCTGTGGGCGAAGAAGGGTGAGGGGAGGCACAGGCATGTTCCTTGGAAGGAGATTGTACACTAGACCTTCATTTTGAGCGGTTTTAAAAGCTAGACCTTCAGGGGAGGATCTCAATAGAATATTCATCAGCTTTCTGCTGATGTACCAAAAGAGATTTACCCTCTTTACTTCATCTGTCCTTGGGTGTGGTTGGCAAATGGCACTAATAGAATCTCTGCTACCTGTCTCCCAGAATAGGGTAATTTAAGCTATTTACCCTCTGGTTGGGGAGAAGTGCAAACCATTTACTCTCAGGTGTCCCTGGTTTAGGGAAGATAGGATTTGCTAGATGGCTGCAAACTGCTGTTTAACTATCTGTCTCAGTTTCCCTATTCCGCTTGTCCTAGCTTATTGGCCTGTCTCAATTGTGTGGTGAAATAGTTACATTGGTGGTATTGAGACAGGCCAGTAAGCCAGGACATGTGGAACAGGGAAACTGAGACAGATAGCCGAACAAACTGACAGAGCAATTTACAGCGGATACAGAGAGGAGAGGGTCACCTCCCTAGAAATAACATCTAGGCCTCAGTGGTGTTTCAACTCCAGAGCCAGAAAAGCAGCCAAACCAGGTAGACAACACCAGGACCAGCTGCAATGACTAACGACCCCCTGCCCTGACACTGACCAATCAGTGAGGAGCATGACCCTGAAGGAGCACACCGAGAAAACATGAATATTCTGTTGAAACTGTCCCGCGAGACCTCCCCTAAGAATCCCACATGCAAGAGAGAAATAAAAGCCTCAAGACAAAGGACCCAGCGTGTGCTCTCCTTCCCAGGAGCCAGGCCTGCCTCCCCCTACACCCCAGGCATGCATTTTCTAGACTCTAAGGGACCCCACGAGGCTTGCAATCAGGGCAGCAATGGGCAAACCCCCAACCTGTCCCCAAGGCCCCCTTTTCTCTGACTTCTTAGTTAGCCAAAGCAGACCAGCCTAGGCTCATTTCCCCAAACTTTCCTTGTTTAACTGTCCCCATTTAATAAATGTCCTCTAAAATTCACCTGGACTCGTGTTGTGAAACTTTTCCTGCATGAAGTCAAGAACCCACACACTATTGGCCCGGCCTGGCCCTAGGCACACCCGCTCAGGGCCCCTTTCCAGTGACAGTATGATAACCTCACATTCATTTTCAGGACGGATTTTTGACACCAAATGACTTTGTGTAAAAGTTTACAACAATGTTTTCGTTTTAGAGCTCCAGATAAGCTGCAGACCTATAGGTTTTGTTTCTTCTTTTTTTCTAATCCTCACCCCAGGACATTTTTCCATTTATCTTCAGATAAAGTGGGAGGGAGGAGAGAGAGAGAAACATAGATGTGAGAGGGACACATCAACTGGTTGCCTCCTGCATGACCCCATCCAGGGCCAGGGACAAACCGCAGCAGAGGTACATGCCCTTGGCCGGAATCGAACCCACAACTCACTGGTCCACAGGCCGATGCTTTAACCACTGAGCCAAACCTGCCAGGGCTGTTTTGTTTTTTTTAAAGCCATGGTTCACCCTGGCAGGGTGGCTCAGTTGATTAGAGAGCATCGTCTCCTATATACCAAGGTTGCGGGTTTCATCCCTGGTCAGAGCACATACAAGAATCAACCTGTGAATGCATAAATAAATGGAACAACAAATCAATGTTCTTTCACCCACGTGCGCGCGCTCTCTCTCTCTCTCTCTCTCTCTCTCTCTCTCTCTCTTTCTTCCTCTCTCTCTCAAATAAAAAAATAAGCCTTGGTTCCAGCCTTTTCCAGACTTATCATTGGCCTCTTCCAGAGTCCATGTGGCCTGGGGGAGGTCACAGGGCACAGAGGCTTGGTGGGTGGGCATTGGCAGCCCACTGGACAGGCCCTGGGGCCTTGGGAGGCTCCTGGACCCCTGCCACAGAGCTGGCCTCTGCTCAGCCTTTGTGTCATCTCAATCCTCTGACCTCAGACACTGAGCTTTGGGAGGTAACTGTTCCCTCAGCCCACTGGCCAGCACGTGCCTGGTTTTCCTATAACACTCCTTTCCCAGAGCTCCTAAAGCTTATGCGCCCCTTCTCACTAAGCTCCCTCTCCTCCTCGTTGCCATCTCCTGTAGGACCCAGGTGTCTTGCCTGGGCCTCATGGACAGGACCTGAGATGGGAAGACTCCATGGCCAACTGCCCAGCAGGGCTCGGGGAAACCTGGAACTGACTCCCACCTCACTCTCCTCCTTAGCCCTCTCACCCCTGTTGACCTAAGAAACATCCAAACCTGTAGAGAATTTTGTAAGAGTTAATTTGAGTCAAACAGAGGATACATCTGGAAGCAAGATCTCAACAGACTGAAAAAAAAATGCTTTGAAAAATAAAAGTTTGCCATCTCTTTTATGATTAAGGAGGGGAGGTAAGAAAGATGATTTTTTTTTTTTTTTATCCTCACCCGAGGACATTTTTCCATTTTTGTTCAGATAGAGTGGGAGGGAGAGAGAGAGAAAAAGAAACATCGACGTAAAAGGGCTGCCTCCCACACAACCCCAACCAGGGCCTGGACGAACTACAACCAAGGTAGGTGCCCTTGACCAGAATCGAATCCGCGACTCATTGGTCCGCAGGCCAATGCTCTAATCACTGATCCAGACCGGCCAGGGCAGGAAGATCACATGAAGGTGGGAGAAAGCTACGTGAGGATCAGATTACCTCTTGCGAGCTTTAGAAGGGGGCTCTGAAAGAGTTGTGAGGTATTATTAGGAGGAGTCTGAAAGGGGACATTTCAAGGGATGTTACACAGAAACAATGCACAGGTTTGCTTAAATCAAAGATAATCTTTTTAGTAAAGAAGTTATATGTGCCTGGGTGTGACTAAGCCATCATGACCTGCCTAGTTAGGAATTTATCAGATCACCCTGTGAGGTTACTTTCCATAGAAACCCCTTTTTTGTCCACACTTCATGCCTTTCCACAATCCCTATTCTGCTACTTTATGTATTCCAGTGTTCAATCATTCTATCACTTGCTAATTCATTTATCCCAGGACACAATCTGTACTCTCAGGACCGCCGGGTGATTCTTCAGATCAGGCTCTTGGGGAAGCAAAGTCCAGCAGTTTAGAACACAGGGTTTCATTTCGGAGCAGCCTGTCCAGGATCCCGGCCCTCACACTCACCTCCTACTTGACCTTGGGGTAAAATAACTCAAATTATCTTGAGACTTAGTTTTCTCATCTGAGGATTAAATGTCTGTGTGTGGGGTGGAGAACCCCAACAAAGCATAGGCAGCTGGGCACAGACTGAGGGATGTGTTCCAGGTCACAGAGCAGGGACCACCTAAGTCTAACTCTGGGATCCGCGAGTCCAGAGCTCCTTCAGTTTCTGTCCCCTGTGCCTTCTCTACGAGGAGGCTCTCACGGGAGCCACCCATGCAGACTGCAGGGGGCGTCCTGGCCTGGGGGCTGAGAAAGCCTTTCCCCAGGTCCTTGGGATCCCACCTGCTTCGTCAGTAGTTTTTCTTACTGTGGCTGCTTTCTAGAGCCAGAGCTGTCTTGCTCTCTGAGCCACCCATGGCATCTACAAGCCCCTCCCCACTTTCCTAGGCTCAGCGTCAGATCTTGAACCAGGTGTGATCCCACCACCACCACCAACCATCACCTTCAACACACACACCCCAGGGCCCCAGACGTAAAGCACGGAGAACTCAATGCTCCGCTGAAAGGCAAGGGCCTTGGGTTCTAGGTAGGGGATGGTACTGACCTGTAGTTTAACCTTGGGCAGGCCCTGCTCTGCTCTGGGTCTCAGTCTGCACTTCTGGCAAAGTGGACCCTCCCCGTTCAGCAAATCCTTTAACTCAGGGCTGGGAGTATGTAGGGCGTGTTGCCTGTGCCGGCAGCGTGGGGAGTGGCATTCCTGGGAGTGGAGGTGGTCACTGAGTAGCTCAGTCTTCTGCCCTGCTCCACAGTTCCTTCCCTTGCCTTATTCAGGAATGGCTGCGGGTTAGTGGTCAGGCAGTGGCCCAAGGAGTGGAGCTCAGGATGGGGCGAAGGCCACTCAGCAGTTAATTATTGCATGTGGTCACCAGCTAGGCCTACATGGGAGGGGCTGGATTAATACTGGGGGCCTAAAATAATGATAAGAATAATAATAATGTAAGCCTAAGGTCCCCAAGTCCCACTTAACCCATTTGCTCCCAAAAACTTAGGTCTGATAAAACCTTGCAGCAGAGTTGCTGGGATCCTTTAAAATAATCTGGTCCACTTTCAACACTCCTGTCCTGTGATGCAGATGAGAATGAGACTCAGAATCAGGGCAGAGCCAATCGAAGGGCAAGGGCTGGAGTGCAGGCGTCCAAGCTCCCAGCCAGCTGTAGAGAGCAAAGAGCTCTCAGGTCCCCAATCTAAGGAGCCACCAACTCCTGCAACTGCATCAGCCCCAGGCATCGCTCTCCTCTAACTGCAAAATCACACTTTTGCTTGATGACCAGAGCCTTGGTTATTCCAAGATTCCAGCTCTCCTGCCATTTCCTACTCACTCCCCACCTACACAGGTATCCTTTAAAAATTTTTTTTAATTGATTTGAGAGAGAGAGAGGGAGGAAAAAAAGGCATAGACTTTGTTGTTTCACTTATTTATGCATTCATTGGTTGCTTCTTGTATGTGCGCTGACCAGGGATCAAACTGCAACCTTGTTGTATTGGGGCGATGCTGTAACTCACTGGGATACCCAGCCAGGGCTACGCAGGCATCCTTTCTACAGCATCTAAGGGTCTGGTCTAATTTAGACCCCCACTACTCCCAGCCGGGGACAGAAGCCTTCCTTTTTCACCCCCTTAGACTATGGTGATACCATTGGTGGGGGAAGGGAAGAAGGGAGAAGCAGATTTGAGCAGGAGGAAATGCCGAGCTTGGTTTTGTCAAGGTGACTGTGTGTGACCCAGGGGAAGGCAGTTGCAGAGGCAAACGCCCAAGGTAAGGGTCCAGCTTGGATGCAGATGTGGAATGCATCAGCCTGTGAATGGCAGTGCAAGTTTAGGAAAGATGGGGCCCCAATACCCTCCATAAGGCCACAGGTCTGGGCGCCTGAAGCAGAAGAGGCCGGGAGAATCAGAGGAGGCATCTGAATTGCTGGAGGAAAATCAGCCAAGAAGGAAGGCCCTAAAGGGTTTGCAAAGAAATTGACTCCCAGCTCATGTTCTGTTTTCTCTCTTTCCCTTTCTCCCAGCTCATGTTCTGTTTTCTCTCTTTCCCTTTCTCTCTCTCTCTCTCTCTCTCTCTCTCTCTCTCTCTCTCTCTCATTCTCTTCCTCCTCTTTTTCTCCTTCTCTCCCTCCCTCCTCCCCTCTCTCCCTCTTTCCCTTTCTCTCTCCCTCGCTCTTTTCTCTCTCCCTCCCTCTCTCTCTCTCTCTCTCCCCCCCCCTCCTCTTCCTCCTTCTCCTCCTCCTCCCTCACCCTGAGTGAGCCTTACCTGAATCCTGCGACCGACCGACCGACCGACCGCCAGGGAAGGTTAAGCCCCTCTGAAGATCTCAGCAGGTAGAGGGCCACTGGAACCCTCAGGCCTCCCTCCTGACTTTACAAGCCCAGCTCAGTCTTCTCCTGATTGGAGAATGACCAGGTGAAAATTCAAGATGAGACTTGCTCCTGCTCCTCATCCTCCAGCCCTGCCCTGGGAGCTGATGGTTTATGGGCTTTAAGCCCCTCCACTGCAGGAATGGGGTTTGGCCCCTGAGCCAGGGCCCTGGGCCCTGAGGGCTTCAGAAGTGACCAGCAAGTGGACGGGGAGTCGGAAGTGGGGCTCTGATCTGTGGTAGTCCCTGCCCTTGTTGAGCTTCATGCGCTTGTTGAAATAAGAAATATGCAAACCTGTAGAGAATTTATGAGTGTATTTGAGCCAAAACAGACAACGATGTCTGGGAAGCAAGGTCTCAGATGCTCTGGAGAAGGACAATTTTGCAGTTTCTATTATGCATTTGAAATTAAGGAGAGAAATAAGGAAGATTGCATGAAGGTGGGAGAAAGCAAGGCGCTGATTGGTTTACAGGACAGTTATGTGCTCTCTTGAGGGTGGTTACCACTTATTTCAAAGATGTTTTAACCCAGTTGCACAGAAACTACGGGCAGAGCTTGCTTAAGTCAAAGATAAACCTTTTACTAAAAAGTTATATGCCTGGGGTGTGACTACATACCGTGACCTACTGAGTTGGGAATTTATGATCAGATCACCCTCTAAACCCTGTTTTCCTCTCCACACTCTGCTCCGAATCTGAGGTCTGGGTGCTAGGGCCATGTGGCCAGCAGGGGAGGACAGGGTCAAGCGGTCACCTTGGAGCCAATCCCAAGAGGTATCCACCTAGTCTGGAAGCTTAATACCAGCAAGATTAGTCACACAAAGATAACAGGAAGATGTTTAACCTGCACAGCTAGGGGCTCTGGGCTGCGGGGAGGGGGGTTGGAGGAACCAGATCCTTTCCTGAGTACCAGCTCATCACATAGGCAATAGCTGCTCACCCATCCTCACGACTGTGGTGTGGCACTTCCTGGGCAGCAAGGAGCGGCTAGGGTTCAGATCTGGGTGTGATTCCAGGCCTGGCTCCTTTCACAGAGAAAGGAGAGCTCTGTGAGGGACTCTCGGGCATCGGCCCAAGGACTGAAGATGCAGTGTTTCTTCTCCAGGCTCATTTCTTACCCTTGCCCTCTGAACTTCTATCTTAGCACCTAGAAATTCTGCTTGCGTGTCTATTACCTTCTAGCCTTTGCACTCGCTGAGCCCTCTCCAGGGAGTGCTCCTCTCTCCCTCATTTTCTGCTTGGCAAATATCATTCCTCTGGAAGTTTCCCTAACCTCTCTGAGCTTCCACAGAACTACACCACACTCTGGGCTTCCTGGCAGCAGAGCCTCAGCTCCTTGTTTTCTAAAAGTTATTGGTTCTCTTACATGCATGTATGCGTAACCAATGGACATAGACAACAATGCTTGGTGGGGGACAGGATAGGGAAGAGGGTGTCTGGGGGGGAGGAGAAACATCTGTAACAAAAACAAATTAATAAAAAATAATAATAACTATTCTAAAAAAAAAAAGAGTTATTGGTTTTCAGGACCCTCTGCCCCCACCAGACTGTGCAAGGTACTCAATGTCCTCCCTGTTGGTGGAGACCAGCAGACTGGGTGCTCAGAAAGCCTCTGTTCACTGACAGCATGAGTGCATGGGTCCTGTAACTTCCTGAGCGCCTGCTCAGGCCAGGCACCAGGCCCAGGTGATCTGGCACATGTGACACAGACATGGCCCCTGCTTTCGATGTATGTGTTTTATTAGGGAAAGGCCAAGCAGTAAACACAGTAGGCATATATTTGTACAAGGGGACTAAAGCGATGTGCTAAGATAGTGCCTGGAAGACTGCTTTTATTTAGGTGGTCAGAAGTCATTTTAGGGGGAAATTATAGGTTGAAATCTAAGTGGCTACAAGGAAAAAGCCTGCAGAGGATAAAAGAACATTCCGGGAACACAGGGAGGGAACTGCTGGAGTTAAGGCCCCGAAGTGAAAAGGGTGAATGGAGCTCATGTATTGGGGTGTGAAGGGGGAAATAATTTGACATGTAATCTAAGTAGGGGGAGTGGGCAGGGTCTTTATGCCACTGACAAAGTTTGGTTTTTCCAACAGGTACCATGGAAAAGCATTACAGGGTTGTGAGGAGCTGTCATATAACCAGACATTTTGGGTGTTTGTTTCTACATTTTTTTTTTTTTTTTATTCCTCACCCAAGGATATTTTTCCACTTATTATCAGATAGAGTGGGAGGAAGGGAGAGAGACACAGAGAGAAACATCAATGTGATAGAGCCCCATTGACTGGTTGCCTCCTGCATGACCTGACCAGGGCCAGGGATATTTTTACTTTTTTAAAATGTCCATCAGAGCCCTGGCCGGTTTGGCTCAGCGGTTAGAGTGTCGGCCTGCGGTCCAGAGAGACCCGGGTTCGGTTCCTGCTAAGGGCACGTACCTCGGGTGCAGTTTGTCCCCAGCCTTGGTTGGGTTATAATAACAAAAGAAAAAATAAATAAATAAAATGCCCATCAGATAGTAAACTTGATGGCTGAAAGTGTACTGATGAGCAGGATATCTGCAGTTCTCAAAGTATCTCCCTGCAACATGCATATCAATTACAAAAGGGAACAAAATAGTAAAGAAACCTGGAAGACCCAATATCAACCAAAAGATCAGTTCCCATCTTCAGAATGGGCAACCCTGACACCATATACCTCCCATTATGATGCTCCAAGAAGGACAGAGTATCACTTTTGGGATATTTGTGTCAAGTTGCACAGCCTTAATCTAGTGATGAGGAAACAAATAAACTCAAAATGAGGGGTGTTCTACAAAATAACCGGCCTGCGCTTTTCAAAAATGTCAGGGCAAACCTTCCTCCCTCAGATATCCATCAGTAGGTGACTAAAGGTGACATATACACAGAATGGAATATTGTACAGCAATTAAAAAGTATGAACTAGTTCTCAATAAGTGGATGTGGAAATATCTCAGAAACCATGTTCTCATGACAAGGCACATGGCAAATGAAAACTACACCTATCAGCTTAGCAGAAAAGCAGAAGTTTGATGCCATACTGTGTTGATAAGGAAACAGACACTCAGATATTGCTGGTGGGGGTCACATTAATACAATCCCTGTAAAGTTGTAACTATCCAAATTAGAAGTCCATATACTCCTTGACCCAGCAATCCCTCTTCTGGATGTCATATAACATATGACTATGTACAAGGTTATTCATTGTAGCATTGTCATTTTTTTAAAAGGAAATAATGCAGGCGTTCATCATTGAGATCCTTTCACCAGTATTTCAATCCCAGGCCACATCTAGTAAAAGAAGGAAGGGGAAAGAAACTTTTTTCCCACCAGAAGCCCAATTACTCATCCGCCAATTTTTGCCCACCTTCCCTCCACCAATCCCCTTGTCACTTTGGGATGTAAGAATGATGAACTTAGCCCCAACTAAGGGATTAATTTATACCTGCTGCTTGCTAGTGAATTTCAAGCTAGTCCCAGTCCTTCTTTGGTCCCCTCAACAGGAATAATGAATCAAAGAGGCATGTCCACCACTCCCACCCCTGGCAACCCGTTCATCCCCCAGTGGCATATAAGACAGACACATGTGGATCTCTCTATTTGAATGAGCAGTCCAGGAACCACATAGAACCCTTCTTGGATAAGGAAACAATGGCCAGGGCATTGTGAGGCCTGCTGATTGAGAGCTGAGCTGGGCTGAGCCGAGGTCACCCTGGTTGTGCAGAAGCAAAGAAAATGTCCAGCTATCAGTAGTGGAAGCCACTCAGCCAAGGAGCCAGACTTGCAGTATCAGGGCCAGGCTGAGAAGGAGAGGCCCAACCCCATGGGGCACGGCCCTAGAATTCATGGCCAATGCATAGAGCCTCGCCACCTCCTTGTTGGGGTTGCCCTGGGCTGGGTCAAACCACATCTGGATGCAGCGGCCACTCCCTCGGCTGTATTGGCTGACCTTGTAGGAGTGACTCCAGAGGCCCTCACACAGGGCTGCGGGAGTGGGGAAATAGGACTCAAATGTGCGACAGACGTCCTTAGCTGGACACTTGTTAGATCCTGCAGAAGGAGAGAGGACAGACACAGAAGTTCAGCTCCTGGTTACCTGAGAAGCATTGACCCAATCCCAAATCCTCAAACTGCCTTTTTCCAAACCCCATGTCCATCTCTCCACCTGCCAGGCTCTCACCTGAGGTCCAGTTCCAGCCCTTCTGCCAGTTGGTCTTGCAGGTGTAGGAGGTGCGACAGTCTTCCCACCAGCTCTGACAGTCCTCTTTGCACAGGGGCACGTTCAGGATCCGCTCTTTGCGCCAGCTCTGGTTCACCTGGGTGAGAGGTGGGATAGGAAGGCTCCTCTCAGCCAGGTGTGTTGGCAGCCACAGCCTTGACTGAACTGGAAGGCAGCCTGCTGGGGTGGAGTGGGATGAGATGAGGGAGACATCTGTACCTGCTGGATCCAGGGCCCCAGGTTGGGGGAGCACTCATAGAGACAGGTGTCCTGGATGAAGTGGCGCTTGCAGGCGGGCTCCATCTTGCCACAGTGGTCCCAGTTAAAGTTATAGAGCAGAGAGTTGTCCTTGTGCAGCTCCTGGCTGGTGCTGACAGAGCAGCAGGCGTTCTCCCTCCAGGGAGTGCACTGGGTGGGAGGACACAGCACTAAGTCCCTCCCCTGACACACACTTCTGCCACCCCCAGCCTCTCCCCATTTGGTTCTTGCTCTCCAGCTCCAGGTAGGGTGCCCTAGAAATGCTCACTGTGAGGACTTTTCTCTCCTTGGCCTTCAGGAACTCCCATCTAGGGGAAATACTCAATTGCAACAATGTGATCAGGGGGTTGTGGGAGCCTGGGAGAAACCCTATCTTGAGAAGACAATCAACTATCATTTATACAACCCTTAACACTTTATAAAAGTTCTTACAGTTATTCGCTAAAAAAATAATTACTGAGTATATGCCAGTCACTGTTCTAGACAGAAGACAGCTGACAACAGACAGAAATACGTGTTCATGGATCTTACATTCTGGTCAGGGAAGACAGACAGTAGGACAGTAAGAGAGAAAAAATATGATATGTAAGGATCAATTATATAGGGGAATTTACAGCAGGGAATGGGTATGTGAATGGTGTGATTGTTGACATTTTAAATAAGGTGGTTTGAAAAGCCCCATTGGAAGGTGACATTTTGAGTAAAGGAGGAAAGAAAGTGAACAATGCAGTAATATATGGTTGAATAACCTTATTCTTGGCAAGTATTAAGATCTGTGTGCCCCACAGTGGCTAAGCCAGTACAAAACACACAGTAGGCCCACAGAAACATTTGCTAAAAAAAAGTACATGAAAACATATTTATGTTCGGCCAGTGTGGCTCAGTGGTTGAGTGTCAACTCATGCACCAGGAGGCTGCCAGTTCAATTCCCAGTCAGGACACGTGCCCAGGTTGTGGGCCTAATCCCCAGTGGGGGCATGCAGGAGGCGGCCGATCGATGTTCTCTCTCACTGATGTTTCTATCTCTCTCTCCCTCTCCCTTCCTTTCTCTCTAAAATCAATAAAGGGAAAAAAACATATTTATGATTTCCTGATCTAAACTGAATTACATCTTACATGTAGACATACCATACTTTAGCGCTTTTACAATTTTTTTTTTTATCCTCACCCGAGGATGTTTTGCATTTATCTTCAGATAGAGCAGGAGGGAGAGAGGGAGGAAGAGAGAGAGAGAAACGTCAATGTGAGAGAGACACACAGAATGGTTGCCACCCACACAACTCCAACCAGAGCGGGGAACTAGCTTCAACAAAGGTACATGGCCTTAGCGGGAACCAAACCCGGGAACGGGTCAACGCTCTAACCGCTGAGCCAAACCAGCCAGGGCAAGCGCTTTTAATATAGACCAGATTTTCCAGGAAACAAGAACCATGAAATGGAAGGCTGTACTAGATGCTTTGCATTACTGGAGTTAATCACTATTGTAGAAAAGTGAGTCATCAATGGCAACATTGCTTAGAGTATTGTATAGCATTTAAGTTGCTAATAGAATACACCTGTATCAATCTTCATTTGTAACTGCCCCATTCATAGTGATTTTGTGAATAAAAGAAACACCTGCTATTTCGCAATGACTTCTAATGTAGCCATACCAGAGAATTGACATATTGAAATGTAGTTATTTTATTATAAATTAATTTCCCTTTGCTTCTCCTTTGCATTACAGGTAGTTATGCTGATATATATATAAAAATCCTCACCTGAGGATATTTATCTATTATCAGATAGAGTGGGACAGCGGGAAAGAGAGAAGCATCGATGTGATAGAGCCACATCAACTGGCTGCCTCCTGCATGATCCAACCAGGGCCAGGGACAAGCCACAGCCAAGGTACATGCCCTTGACTAGAATCAAACCCATGATTCATTGGTCCAAAGGCCGACGCTCTAACCGCTAACCAAAACCGGCCAGGGCTATGATGAGAGATATATATATATAGATATATAGATAGATAGATATTTTTTTAACCCTCACCTGAGGACATTTTTCTATTTTTTGTTCAGATAGAGTGGGAGGGAGAGAGAGGAAGAGAGAGAGAGAGAGAGAGAGAAACATCGACATGAAAGGGACACATCGAGTGGCTGCCACCTGCACGATCAACCAGGACCAGGGATAAACTGCAAGCGAGGTACGTGCCCTTAGCAGGAACCGAACCTGGGTCTCTCTGGACTGCAGGCTGACACTCCAACCGCTGAGCCAAACCGGTCAGGGCATATGCTGATATTTTTCAATTAAATGTGCAAATAGATTCTGTTAGCTTTGAAAAAGAATAGAAAAGAGAGTCTAAACAATATTTGTCATAAAAAGGAGCCATGTGTCTAATAGTGTTGCAACCAAGTGGCATGTATTTTTATACAATGTGTGAAAAGACAACCTTCTGCCCTGTGCCACAGTCATAAGGGGCCTTCTCCTTTGCCCACAGCACTGCATGGACTGGCATATAGTGAAAGTAGGAAAACCATCTTCCCCAAAACCTTGGAGAGTCACCCCAGTCCTGTCCCACCACAGGAGCTGGTCATGTCCAGTTCTTCTGTGTGTCCATATGTTCCTCTGGGCCTCAATTTCCTCATTTGTGTCATGTGGAAAATGTCATCTACCTACCTCAATGGACCACTAGAAAAATGAAATCATGTAGAGACAACACATGATACCTAGTAGGTACTCAATAAATGATTATTTCATTTTTTCTTATCCTCACCCAAGGATTTTTAGAGAGAAAGAAATATTGATTGGTTTCCTTCCATGAGTGCCCCAACATGGGACTGAACCTGCAAACTAGGTATGTACCCTGTCTGGGAATCAAACCCGCACCCTTTTGGTATATGGGACGATGCTCCAACCGAATGAGTCACACTGGCCAGGGCTGATTACATCACATTACTGTTGACATAATATCCTGTTCTGAGAAGGCCATCCTGAAAATCACCCAAACAACTCCCTGACCTTTATCTTCTCAGCGATAACTCAGAGTATGAGTTGCCTGACCCCTCAGCCCTTGCCCCACCACCAAACGTCATTTTCCCTGTCAGCACCGGTCCCGTCCCCAATCAGCACCACACTGCAGTCACACCTGGTCATGCAGCTTGTCCTCAGGGCCTGGCTTTGTCTTGTGGTGTTTGGCGTCCATGCAGACGTTGAGCAGGTCTGTCCTGTCTCTGGCACCGCACATGGAGGCTGCAAACCAGACCAGCAGCAGCAGAGGTGATGTCCCTTTCCAGGCCATGTCTTTGTGTCCCTACAGATGAAGCTGTGGTCAAGGAGAACAAGACCTGAGGAGAGAGAGCCGATGCAGGGTGCTCCCTTCACCCCGACTCAATCTTCCCATATCCACAGTGAAGGATGGGGTCAGACCCTGTTCCTTCAGTGCTGGGGTCCTGAGGTCCCCTGAGGTAGATGACACTGGCTCCCCTCACCCCAGGCTTGGAAGGTTCAGAAGGGAATCTGGGGTCAGTAGGTGGACCCTGGGAGACTGTTCCCAAGTTGGAGAAGCTGTTTTGTACCCACACCTTCTCTCTGAACTTTACTAAAAAAGTAATTAAGTAGTTCAGGTCTCTACTTCCTGAAAAGGACCAGGAACACACAGCACCCTTATCCTGTGTTCAGCAAGTGCTCAGCTCTTAGACCCTGGGCCACCTGGTTCCCATGCCAGATTAGAAACCCTGTTTTCCTGGGGAAGGCAGTGGCCCTGATCTGCTGAGATCTCCAAATCAGCATGAGGATCAAATATGTTACACAAACAGGACCGTGTTTAGTTGAATGACACAGAAATGGAAAGAGTGGTGGTGTTAATAGCTTTGCTCCCTCCGACTTTTTCCTTCTCTATTTCCTGAAAGCCGAGTCCTCCCTCCACCCCACGGTGACTCTGGCCCCCTCAGCCCTCTGAGAGCTGGACTAGAGCACCAGATTGCAGCCTGAAACCTCAGAAACATATGCAGACCCTTGGACCAGAAGAACAACATGAAAGTCTCCCATGTTAACCAGCCTACCAAATAGGCACTGAGTGTCATGGGAGGCACCTGGCAAAAGTGACAATCCTCTTGTCTGTCCAGGACGGCAGGTCACCCCCACTCCCACCCATTACAGATCTGTCCTTTGGGCTCAGTCGATGGAGTGCTGAGTTGATGACAAAGAGCCATTCCTCTCCCTCACCATTCCCACATGCAATTGATCACCACGCCCTGGCAAGGGTTCTTTCAAAAACCTTTCTATAATTCACTTCCCTTGGCTCTGGTCTGGGGTCAGGTCTTCCCTCCTCCAATGTTTTTTCTTTCAAGTCACCTTCCCCACAGGAGCCAGAGTGACCTCTCTGAAGAAAGACATGCCTGGCCCTGACACACAGACCCACCAAGTTGCCCCAGTGCCCCTGTCACCCTTCCTTCCTGAGGGCATCTTGCCTGAGCCTCCTTTGCTGTGGCTGGACTGTCCCCTTCCTCTGGGCTGGCAACAGCTCCTGGACTGTCCCCTCTGGTCTCTGTCCTCAGGGCAGGATACACTATGAGAGCTCTGAAAGTGCTTATGCACAGAAAGTACCCTGCGTTTAGCATGTTCTGCTTCCAACTTCCTTCCGTTCCAGACCCCACCGTCAAGTTAGCCAATCTTGTTTGACTTCATCTCTCCCTGTGTTCATTTACTCATTCCAGGATCCACACACCCAACATTCATCAAAATCTAGAGAACCACTCATCTCCTAGGGGAATCTGAAATGTTGAGGTTCTACAAGTGGTTGTTAGGATAAAGCTAACTTGAGGGGGAAGAGGTGTGGAGGGAAAACCCAGGCTTCAGGGTCAGGACATGGGACCCAACATCAGCTCTACCCCTCAAACAACCTTGGGAAATGTCATTAAACCTTGCCAAGCTCTTGCTGGCTGACCAGAAAATTGTTGAGAATTTATCTGGAAAAGCCTGGCACATACCAAGTAAGCTTAAATGACAACTATCATGTTAATTTATGAGCAGTGAGGTGGACATAGGTAGAAGTTGAGGTACAGATGTCAAGGGTCACAGAGAAAAATTGCCTCAGATCTGAGAAACAATAATATCTCACCATATAACATTTCTTTAAACATAATTAAGCAATTTTTGATAGCCTTTTCAAAATTGTGGTAAAATACACATTATGTAAAATGTACTATATTAACCATTTTTTAGTGTACAGTTCTGTTACGTACATTCATATTGTTGTACAACCAATATTTGGAAATTTTCCATTTTGTAACACTGTAACTCTATTCCCATTAAGCAACTACTTCTCCTCTCCTCCTTCCCTAAGTCCTTGGCAACCACCATTTGACTTTCTGTCTCTATGAATTTGACTACTCTAGACACCTTCTATAAGTGGTAACATACAATATTTGTCCTATTTGACTGGCTTCTTTGACTTAGCGTAATACCCTCAAAGTTCATTCATGTGACATAATTTCATACCTTTTTTCCTTTTTTTAAAAAAATTTTTTAAGAGAGAGAGAGAGAGCCCTGGCCGGTTTGGCTCAGCAGTTCAAGCGTCTGCCTGCAGTACAGAGAGACCCGGGTTCGGTTCCCACTAAGGGCACGTACCTCGGATGCGGTTTGTCCCCGGCCCTGGTTGGTCGTGCGGGTGGCAGCCACTCGATGTGTCCCTTTCTCTACCTCTCTCTCCCTCCCGCTCTATCTGAAACAAAAAATGGAAAAATGTCCTCGGGTGAGGATTAAAAAAAAAAAAAGAGAGAGAGAGAGAGAAACATCGATGTGAAAGGGACACATCGAGTGGCTGCCACCCGCACGACCAACCAGGACCGGGGACAAACCGCAACCGAGGTACGTGCCCTTAGCGGGAACCGAACCTGGTTCTCTCGGACTGTAGGCCAACGCTCTAACCGCTGAGCCAGACCGGCCAGGGCTAATTTTATTCCTTTTTATGGCTGAATAATATTTTATTGTATATGTATGCCACATTTTATATACCCACTTATTTATAAATGTACACTTGGGTTGCTTCCACCTCTTAGTAGGTGAAGAATGTTGCTATAGACATGGGTGTACAAATATCTTCACATTTTTTTTTTGGTGCATACCCAGAAGTGGAAGGGCTGGATCAAGTGGTAATTCTATTTTTAATATTTGAGGAAGTGTCATACCATTCCTCATGGCAGCTGCACAATTTTACATTCTTATCAACAGTGTAAGAATTCCAGTTTCTTTTCATGCTGGCCAATATTAGTTGTTTTCTGTTGAATTTTTTAAAAAATTGAAGCCACTCTCGTATGTGTGAGGTGAAAACTCATTGTGCTTTTGATTTGCATTTTGGGTTTCTTTGAATATATAACTAGGAGTAGAATTGCTGGGTGACAAAGCAGTTCCATTTTTAATTTTTTGAGGACCTCCATACTATTTTCCATAGCAGCTGCACCAATCTGCATTCCCACCAACAGTGCATGAGGGTTCTTTTTCTCCACATCCTCACCAACACTGTTGTTTGTGAATTTATTGATTTTAGCCATTCTGACAGGTGTGAGGTAATATCTCATTGTGGTTTTAATTTGAATTTTTCTGATGATTAGCGACACTGAACATTTTTTTCATATGTCTATTGGCCACCTGTATGTCCTCTCTGGAGAAGTGTCTGTTCAGGTCCTCGCCCCATTTTTTAATTGGATTGTTTTGGGGGTTTTTGGTGTTGAGTTGTATGAGTTCTTTATAAATTTTCGATATTGCCCTGGTTGGTTTGGCTCAGCAGTTGGAGCATCGGCCCGCGGACTGGAGAGTCCCAGGTTTGGTTCCCACTAAGAGCACATGCCTTGGTTGCAGTTTGTCCCCAGCCCCAGTTGGGGTTGGGTGGGTGGCGGCCACTTGCTGTGTCTCTCTCTCGTCAGTGTTTCTCTCTCTCTCTTCCTCCCTCTCTCCCTCCTGCTCTGTCTGAAGATAAATGCAAAAATGTCCTCCGGTGAAGATAAAATAAAAAAAAAATTGGATATTAACCCATTTGCAGATGTATCATTAGTGAATATCTTCTTCCATTTAGTAAGTTGTTTTTTTCATTTTGTCAATGGTTTTCCTTGCTGTACAAAAGCATTTTAGTTTGCCTGGCTGGTGTGGCTCAGTGGTTGAGTGTCAACCCATGCACCAAGAGGTCACTGGTTCAATTCCCAGTCAGGACACATGCCCAGGTTGTGGGCCAAATCCCCATTGGGGGATATGCAGCAGGCAGCCAATCAGTGTTCTCTCTCATTGATGTTTCTATTTCTCTCTTTGTCTCCCTTCCTCTCTTTCTAAAATCGATTAAAAAAATTTTTTTTTTAGCCATTTTAGTTCGATGTAGTCCTGTTTTTTTAATTTTTATTTTGCTTCCCTTGCTATATCAGGAAAAAAATATTGCTAAAAGAAATTTCAGAGATTTTACAGCCTATGTTTTATTCTAGAAGTTTTATGGTTTTGAGTCTTACAGTTAAGTCTTTTTTATTGAATTTATTGGTGTGACACTGGATAACAAAATTATACAGGTTTCAGGTGCACATCTACAACACATCATCTGTATACTGTATTGCGTGTTCACCACCTTAAGACAAGTCTCCATTCCTGCTATACCCTCCTCCACCTTCCCCCACCTCTCATATTTAAGTCTTTAAACCATTTTGAGTGTATTTTTCTATATGATGTAAGAAGGTGGTCTAGTTTTATTTTTCTGCAAGTATCTGTCCAGTTTTCCTAAAACCATTTTTTTATTAATTTATTTTTGTTACAGATGTTTCTTCTTTTCCCCCACAGACACCCTCCTCCCCCAAAACCATTTTTGAATAGACTGTTCTTTTCCTATTATATGTTCTTGCCTCCTTTGTAAAATATTAATTGACCATATTGGCATGAGTTTATTTCTGGGCTCTCTATTCTGTTCTATTGATCTATGTGTCTATTTTAATGCCAGTACCATGCTACTTTGATTACTAAAGTCTTGTAGCATAGTTTGATATCAAGTAGTGTGATACATCAAACTTAATTTTTCCCAAAATTGCTGTGGCTATTCAGGATCTTCTGTGGTTCCAGATAAATTTTTGGATTTTTTGTTCTAGTTCTGTGGACTGTATCACTGATATTTTTATAGAAATACATGGATTCATAGATTGCTTTGGGTAGTATGGACATTTTGATAATGTTAATTCTTCCTGTCCATGAGGACAGTATACACTTCCATTTATTTGTATTTTCTTTCATTTATTTCTTTAATATCTTGTAATTTTCTGAGTATGAGTCTTTTACCTCCTGAGTTAAGTTTATTTCTAGTTTTTTTTTATGCAATTGTAAGTCGGATGTTTTTTTTTTCAGTTTCCCTTTTCAATAGTTTATTGGATGTATATAAAAATGCAACATGTTTCTGAATATCTATTTTGTATCCTACTAGTTTACTGAATTTATCAGTTTTAGTATGTTTTTGGTGGAATCTTTAGGGGTCTCTATATATGGTATCATGTCATCTGCAAATAATGACAGTTTCATTTTTTCCTTTCCAATCTGGATGCTGTATATGTCTTTTTCTTGTCTGATTGCTGTGGCTAGGATTTCCAGTACTATGTTAAATAAGAGTGGTCTCCCCAGCTGAGTCATTCAGTTTGTTGCAGTGTCATCTCATTATGCCAAAAGGCTATAGGTTCAATTCCCTGTCAGAGCATCTACCTAGTAAGTGGGGTTGATACCCAGTTGGGACACATGAAAGGCAACTAACTGATCAGTGTTTCCCTCTCCCATGGATGTTTCTTTTTTTTCCCCTCTTCCTAAAATCAATAAAAACATATCCTCAAATGAGGATTTAAAAAAACAATAATAGGCCCAGCTAGTGTGGCTCAGTGGATTGAGCATCATCCCACAAACTGAGAGGTCCTGGTTCCATTCCCAGTCAAGGCACATGACTGAGTTCCAGGTTCTGGGTTCGAGGGCATGCAGGAGGCAGATGATCAATGCTTCTCTCTCACATCTATGTTTCTATCTCTCTCTCCTTTCCTCTCTCTCTAAAAAGTCAATTAAAAAACATATTTTTTAAAAAGAAATAGTTAAAAAAATAAATAATAATAAGAGTGGTGAAAGTGGCCAACCTAGTGTTCCTGGTCTTAAAGATAATGCTTTTAGATTTTCCCCATAGAGTATGATGTTAGTTGTGGATTTCTCATGGATGGCCCGTAGTGTGTAGAAGTATGTTCCCTCTATTCCCACTTTGCTGAGAGGTACTTTTTTGTTTGTTTTTTAATCATAATTAGGTACTGGATATTGTCAAATGCTTTCTTTCCATCTATTGATATAATCATATGATTTTTCTGTTGTTGTTGATCCTCACCTGAGGATATTTTTCCGTTGATTTTTAGTTAGAATTTACAGGAGGGAGGGCAGAAGAGAGAGGGAGCAAGAGAAACATTGATGTGAGAGACACACATTGATTAGTTGCCTCCCACACAACCCTGACCTGGGCTGGGATTGAATCTGCAACCCAGGTATGTGCCCTTGACCAGGAATCAAACCTGTGACCCCTTGGTCCAC